ACGAATACTGCCATTGTCGATTATGGTAAAAATCAAAGGTCCGCCAAAAGTGTTAGACCCTTACAGGTTGACAAAAAACAGTGCAGATCTGGATCAGGATCGCTCCGAAGATGCATCCCCGGGAACAAGCTGTACTCCTCTTAATCTTCTAGGCTCTTCCCCAACTAAGCTTTCTCCTAGTCCAGACAAACATGCCTTACCTATGCGTCCAGCTATTCTGCAAAGCAAACAGGTCCCAGGGAGATTCTTCCCGAAAGCCGGGGTATCTGAGGACCAAAGGATGTTAATAGGCAGCAGTAGTCAAACGCCAGTATCCCATGTAAGTAAACCATCTCAAAGAGGTTCCATGATGACGAGAAAGAATCAAACCCCAGGAATTTCTCGTTCTTATGACTTCAATAGATCGAAAGCGGAGGCGACAAACATGTACAATGAGAAAATATTAAGGCAAAGGAAAAGTCTTTTTGAACAAAATAAGGACAAGAATTCGATGATGTCAATTAGTTTTTTCAATCCGGAGATACAATTGGATAAAGAAAATAAGCAATCTGACGTTAGTAGTTATTTTTCTGTACAGCGTTTTCTATCCACGTCCAGACATGTATCGGTTCCAGGAGGAAGACAAAGATTCGGCGATGTTCTCAAGGGAACGACCAAAGCCATTCATACTAGAGAGGACGCGCTCCAGACGCGCTTGGCATCTCTTTCCGCGCGTAACTCAGCAGCGAACATCCAGTTCGAGGAAATGGATGATGTGATTGCAACAGCATCAACATAGTAATAGTGCATCTCTCTTTAGGGGAAACATGTTAAACACGTGAAAAGAGCGTGCGAAGGAAATGCCGTGTGAACTATTAAGTGCTATGCATGTCACTATTACTTCAGGTACAAAATTTGTATGTTGAAGATTTATGTATCTCCTTACAGTTTAGTGTCAGCCAAGATTATTCACTGATATCTCATTTTGTTCTTGAAATGTATATTTATTGAACTTAAAGTATGTGAGATTAATTGGAAATTTGATATGCAATATTAATGTTACTCATACTTTTTTTTCAATCTTAGTGTGCATAGGATTATACTACAACTAAATAAGCTCGTCAATTCCTTACCATCTCGTACATCACGTGCGTCATTTCTCTGATGAAGGTGACCTTGTAGTTGTCAAAACCTCACACTCTAATCTTCTACTGGCTGTATTATAAAAACTTCTATCTGTCAACCCATAATTATTATTTCATACCTTGTAAATACGAGATTCTTACAATGCTGTTAGCAAGAGAATTTGTATAGGAGTAGCAAATGTCTACCGTGCATGACAAAACTAAAGTTTGATAGAACTATCATAACCATATGTAACATAATTTATTTTTTATGTCATACATTGTTCACATAGTGTCGAAGTTTTGTAAACCATGTGTTTTATCGTTTATAGAAATTTAAATGTTTCAAATGGTCATCGGTATAATAAGATGTGATTAAGGTGTGTGTAGAGCCCAGCTTACAGATTTAGTTTACGCCTTTGTTTCTCTAAGCCGAGGTGTTCAGTGTAAATCTAGAAGGACTGGACAGCGATTTACATATAACTTAGTATAGAGTTTAAATGCCAGTTCAACATAACAAATGGCTGACAGTTGATGTTAAGAAACATCTATACAAAACACCCATATGTTGATTATTACACGTATAGACGAAATTGTTTTAAGAAAAGAAGAGAATGAAATAGTGTCATACTTGGTAAGAAATAACGTTTTGTCACATCATGCTAATGCACTTGTGGCTGGTATATTTACACGTATTTCTGTATTCAAGAGTAACAGTACTTTGCTATCCTGATAGTTAATGTTGCTCCTTCAAAACCACAATCTCTCAAGCTTGAGGGTTAATGTATCTTAGTCATGTTGCCACAAAAGAGCTTTTCTGTGTGTTAAATGTATTACTAAATATGCATTCTTTTGATCAATAATCATTTTAAGACAGTCGTAAACCATTTTAGAAACTATTCTTTAAACTTTTTTTTAATTTCCCACTCGCGTCTTTGGAAATAAAGAGATTACTTCCACTGTAAGACAATTTTTTGTGAAATTTGTATACTGTCTTTTTCCAGAGGTAATGATGTAGATCTCGTAGAATTAGCGAAGAAAAATGTGCCACCCATCCCATCATGTAAAGAGAAGAATTTTTGTTGAAAATCAACCTGTCTTAAATGATGTGTTACCACGTTCTATAGTACTGGAAGTTACAACAAAAATGATATGTGCGTTATCTTATTTTTTGTAAAAGAACCAATAAATGATGATTGTTTAATACGAAGTGTTGTTTAAATTGAAATTATAAGAATTCGACAGCATTGTGTTTTATTGTATAGTGAACCTGCTTCCTTTTCACATAAATCATTTCACTGGGTTTTTAAAAATTTTTTTATACATGACATATACAGGTAAACTTTAAGTCGTCCCATACACTAAGGGTTATTGGTCACTATGTTATGTCATTTTACACGGATATATTTAGAGTCAAGCTGGACGTTAATCCTATAGATATGTTATATAAATTTATCCGTGATATAGTCATCTTGCATAACAGAACTAAGTTGACCACTTATTTCCGCCTGTACCTGCAGCTCAACCAACAGGGACAGCTTTCCACCAAGTTGTATAAATAAGCGTGAAGATTTCGATTTGCCTGTTGTGAAATTTCTATATCTAAATACATGTTGTAACAAATCTGCTTCCCAAACAGTATTTATAAACTTGTCGCAGTTAATATGGTATGGTAAGGACTTATTAGCAATATCGCTTTATCGAGGAAAGATTTGGTTAGCTGATGAATAAAAATACACATACTTCATTCTAATTTGAAGAATTAAATAATTTGAGAATTTGACATTTAATACTAGGAATTACCTAAACTTACAGGGTAGGTAATACGCCATACAAAACAGCTATTTTCCATGCCATCTTTCTTTCTTTGTAATTCCCTTGTTTCAGTACTAATAGTGGTCGTTCAGTGAAAGGCTTTTAGCTGCAAAAGGTAGTCGAAAAGCTGTTGTTGATAATGTAATTCAACGAAATACAAGGAGCCGTGCCGATACGTGTACAGAGTATGATTAATTCTATTCCATACATATCCTACTCAGAAAAAAAAAGAAATGAATATCAAATAAAACAACATACTTTAGCTTCACATTATGGATTTTCAATTTCATGTAACAATTCTACATTGATATTGCCGAGGAAACTGTTGTTTCTGGAACGTTAGAATAGGAAAGGTTTCAGCAAGTGTTCGCCCCACTGTTCTTCATCCATCCAACTCTGTATCGTGTTATGTACTGCTGTTTTTCCTATATTTAACTGTCCTAAACGAATACGTTCATTTAGTACTGATCAGCGCCATGCAAAGTTGTCTCGCAATATCGTTAGTAGGGTAAATAGACGGATTGATTTCCGTCTTCATGCCCTAGCCCCCTACTAGCAAACTCCATGATATGTACTTTTCAAGATTGAATTATTTCGTCTTCTAAAACACAGTAGTCTACACCGTTTAATAAAACAAAAGATGTTGGGCAGTGTTCTGTGAGTCGGGTCTATGAATACCATTTAATTCCTACGTATGAAAAAAAACCCTAGCTGCTGGAACATCGAGTAGTAACAGTAGTAGTTGTGGTAGTGGTAGTTGAATGGAAGCTTTAGTGAACATTAAAATGTGTCTCTATCGCAATAGAATGTTTTATCGTTGTCTTTAACAGCAATCACTATTGATTAGGTCCCGAAGAAACAATGGAAATACATGTCTTGATAATCACGGGTCATAGTTAGTTAATTAAAGTTTTGTTTGGAGACGGGCCTGAATGATTATTCTTAGTTGTTGTTGTTGTTGTTTTTTTTTTTTTTTTTGTATCGAACAACAAGATTATTTATCAATATGTTAGTTTCATGATATCTCTTTAATGTAGCACTTTTCAACCACTTTTAGAAACTCGCAGGGTTGCATCTTTGTTGATACTGATCTCTATACAAATTGTCTGAGTGATGACAATTGTTAATTTAGAAATGACAAGTTTTAAAAAAAGGCACACACACATATCGATAAGATAGCAACGTTAATCTTGTATCGGTCAACCTATCTTCATTGAACCTTCAAACAATTATTCTATTTCAATACACAACTAATTCCGCAGAGTTCCATCTTTATTCAATTAATACTATTTATATATACTTTCATTCCAGGTTAAACTAATTAGCAGATCGGGTTCTTCCAAATCACGAAGCAGAACGCCATGGGACATTTTTTTATCAATAATGCTTTGCTGTGTATATACACATAAATCAAAGTGTTGTTATGAGAACATTCTAATGTTTTTGAACTGGGATTTTTGAAATGCCATATTCTACTCAAGATCTAAATTAAATGCTTCATAATAGATTTAGGAACAAATCAGAGCATCTACCAAAGAATGTATGTTAAAGTAGAGTATAGTGTACATCTAGAAATATTACGACTTATATCAATTGTACAATGCTTGCACATTGTACATAGAAATGCTATCCAAAATGTCTTGAGTTACCTCCCGTTGAACGGTGACATTCCTTTGCACATATGAGCATTGCTATTTGTCTTTTTAAAACGAGATTTATCAGATACATATATACACATAGTAAGTTGAGATTATTTCTAATAATGTTTAATAGATAAAAGCATCAGGTAGAGTGTCTACCTATTTTTCTATTTTTTGACAGAAAGGTAAAAGGTAAAAGATGAAATTTGAGCAATGTCATATAGTACAACCATTCAACATTAGCTCATGGTGCTAATATTACGATAGAGAGGTATAAACCGGTCGCTGACATAACAAACGTGAAATTGGTTGATATCCGGAACGTAAACATTTACCAATTTTATTTTAGTTTGTTCTCGTCCGATCATAGGTTTCAACACGCTTCAATCAAAAGCACAACATCATAGAGTACGTTAAAGACCCAGACGAAAAACAAACACCA